AGGCTCTGATTGCAGCGCTGAGAGGGACTCCTGCGGGAAAACGCGGTTGGGGTGGGGGAGGCGCCCCACGGCAGAGTAGGAACGATACATGCTTTCACGTAAGAGTCTCCAAAAGCCGCCAGTGACACCGAAAAAGTCGCCAGATTGGTCGCTAGTCGCCTTTTTGAAAAATAGTCGCTGGAGGGGTCTGAAAAGTCGCTGAGTAGCCTAGGCAACACTGCACCTGCGGCGCTGACTCGCTCTGCCATATTTTTTTTTCTTCCTCTTTCAGTCAAGAGGCAGTGATGACGGCGCGGCGGATGACGCAATAATCGCGCGACACAACTAATCGATGATGAAATTCGTTGCCAACGCTTTTAAAAGTCGATTTTTATCGATTTTATCGATTCGTTGTTGCAGCCCTAATTTAAAATAATTTTTATAAAATTTTAATGTAAACTACATTTTTCAAGAGAATACAATTATTTTATAGGATTTTATTTTATTTCAATTTCATTCATAGTACCCATCTGCCTGATATAACACCATGCTTGCATTACAAAAAATATGGCTAAAATATTTTAATTTTAAATCCAACATTGTGTTGGAATCTGGAGATCTGCCACCTGTCTCCAGCAGGGAGCGCTATGGGTCTCCTAAGCTGGAGCCTCCCGCACACCTGAGGATCATCAGCCCATCAGGAGACCTCCTACTTAAGCAGCGACCAGACCTGTCTTCAGCGCCGGAGTGTTGACCAGTTTTGGATAGCGGAACCTGAGCCTCTACCTGAACTTGAATCTCTGTCTGCTCTAGAGAGCAACCTGATTCTAATCAGTCTCTGTCCTCTCTGCTCACAGGAAACCCGACTGAACTCAGTAGCTCTGGAGGAGCTCATGTTTGGAAACCTGCCTGCCTGCCCAAGGAAGCCAAACCTGAAGATCCTCCGCCTGAATCTTCCTGCTAGTTCTCAGGAGAGAACTAGAAGAACAACTCAAGGTCTGAACCTTGCTAGCCTGAAGCTAAACTCTGTCGCTGCTGAACACTCTGCTGGAACACAGTCCCTGGACCCAGCCGGTTCCCTCTCTCCACTGAACAGTCTGAACCTCATCAGATACAAACCAAGATCTAAAACTCAGCCAAGTCATCGTTGCTACCTGGCTAACCAAACTATCCCTCTCTGCAGATTACTCTGTGAAACCAAGCCCCGGACCAGTACCAGAACCAGAGCTTATTTACTCTGTATGTGCTTTCCAAATAAACTGTTTGACTTTTATCTCCGTCTCTGTGGTGGTGTTCTGCATATGGGTTAAGACAGTAATCCATCATGACACATTGACCACCTCCAATCCTTTAAATTAAATGATTAAACTTAAAAACATATATGTATATTTGAAATACTTTCTGCTTGAATGTCTTTAAAGTAATAAATATATGCATGATACGATTATGTTATCATGCAAGTTATTTATATATATATATGAGTGTGTGTGTGTGTTTTTGATTTAAAATGTGATTATTTATGCTTTAAACCATATAACAGAAATGCATTGATTATCCCACAACTCAAAGTTTTGGTGTGATAAAAGTCCAAAAAATACATAAATGCTTAAAAAGGACATGCAACACATCATAATCTTGCAAACCTCTCACCTTAAATGTTTATTAATCCAATTATCACCACGGAAGAATCTTTCTAACCAGTGTTAATTCTCTTTGATTCTTCCTTTCAGAAAGTTTTCTCAAAGTGTTTTTTGATCGCTCCACCTCATGTTCTGTCCTTGTTCTGTTGGGATCTGGAGGTCTGTCCACCTTCCTCCAGCAGAGGACGCCTCTAGGTCTCCTGGAGCTGAGCTGACGACCACACCTGCGATCCATCAGTCATCAGGAGACCAGCATATAAGCAGCGGCAGGACTACACTCCAGTGTCAGAGTGTTAAGCCAGTTATGGTTAGCAAAGCCTGAGCCAACCAGCCTGTCTGATTCTCTGTCTCTCCTGAAACCTGAACTTGAGTCTGATCTGTTTTTGTCTTCTCTGCCTCCTAGGAAGAAACCTGACTGATCCTTGGAACTCTGGAAGAGTTTTCATCTGCTGAGATCTGCCTGCCGGCTGTTCGGGGCTCACCTGAAGAATCAAAACTGTCTGAACCTGCCTGCCCGCCCTCAAGAAGAGGATCGGAAGAAGACTCTGGATCTGAACACTGATAAGTCTGAAGTCGAGCCCTGCCGTTGCTTAGCCCTCTGCCAACTTCTAGCCTCTGGACCCAACCCGGTTCCCCTCCTCAGCTGCTAAATCTGAAACACGTCACAGGTACAAACCTGCACAATTCCTCTGGCAAAGATCCACAGCATCCTGGCTAACCTAACTGTCCTTCTCTACAGAGAACCCTATGTGACCAGTCCCAGATCTGTTTCTCTGCATCATTCATATAACTTTGTGTTTTCTTCAATAAACAGTCAAACTTTTCATCTGCCTCTGTTGTGTTCTGCATGTGAGTTAGAACCTTGAATCCCATCATGACATGTTCCTTGATTGCATTGTAATAGGCTCCTCAGTTTAAGACAGGATTTAGCATTTCAAAATAAACACCCTGCTTCAATACTTTTATATGTTTTCTTCACTCCTTAATATTAACTGCATGTGGGTCAGAAACTTGTCTGAAACCATAATATCCTGGTTTTAGTAAAAAAAAAGTAATTTAATGTGAACACAGTTTAAGGCTATAGAATGAAAAAACATTGCTATTTGCCTTGTCCAAATGAAAGTTAATTTGTTCAAATGTTTATTAGATAAAATAGGCAACATATGATCCACAAACATACTGTGTCATGTTAATTTTAAACATAGTAGGAAGACAGGCCAAATGTTAGTGAATTTAACTCTGTCAGTAATATTTCTGTTGTCTTTATGCAGTTACATTTTGATTGGTTTACATTTATTCTTTAATCTTAATCCTTTTTATCACTATCTAAAAAGGATACTCTAAAACATTTCCTTTTAATCACTACTAACAAGCTCTTATTTGCATTTAATCATACCAATTAAAATAATTAATATTTTCTCTAATTTAGCTTACATTTATGAACTATATTTCTCTTAAAATGTTCGACTAATCTAATAAAATTTGGAATTTCGTATAATATCATCAGTAATTTAATGTTTAATGTATTTTACTGTTTGGAAAATATCTAGTAGATATTACCTTGTATTGGTTTGTACATTCAAACAACCCATGCACTGCAAAAAAGGGTTGTCTGAAATCTAGAAAAAAAAAAATCAAAGGGAAAGATGCTCAAAACAAGTGCAATTATCTGTTCATGCATTAAGATAATTTTACTTGACAAGATTTCTTGATTTAAGATTCTTAAATCTAGAAATATTCATGTGTTCAGAGGACTTAAAATAAGCTTGTCCGTGTCCCAAACTAACTGAAATATAAGCATAAAATGCTTGTTTTAAGATGAAATCACAAAAAAAGATTTCTTCTTTGTGTCTCAAAATAAGTGAAGTACATTCATTTTAAGCAATTATGAATTTTTTTTGTTCTTACTTTTAGCAAATTAAGCTTTAGGTGATATTAAATCTGTAAATTAGAGAAAAATACCTAGTATTTGAGGAGACTAAACTTTATTTAAGCTGGTCTACCTTGAAACAAGCTCATTTAACTTAAAACCCACTTGATTGATATATTACTATTTTCTACACTGAGAAAATTTTGACCATTGTCTACTTAAAAAAATTAAGGCAACAAAGTGACAATAGTGATAGTTGACAAAGTGATAATTGAATAGATTTTAATTACTTCAACTTTGATTAAAAACCATTGATTTAATTAAACAAATTTAAACAAAAATTTTAAATACAAAATAATGAAATCATTGGTTGAAATACTTTGGATTTACTTATAATATGGCAAATGTTGAGTAAATCCAAATCAACTATACAGGGAAAATTGATTAATATTTACTATGTATCCGAAAGAAAGTGATTTAGATATACCAAATATTTGTGAAAAAGTGATTTAGATTTACTAATTTATTATGTGGAATTAAATAATATTTATTAATTATGTGGATGAAATAGATTTCCATTTACTAAATATCTGGATAATATTGATTTATATTTAATAATTATATGCGTTAAAATGATTCTATCTCTCTAAATATCTGGATACAAATGATTTAGATTAAATAAATAAAATAAGCTACATCAACTCATAACCTGGAACAATGTTACTTAATTCAACACATTTAAACTGAAATTGTTATTTATTTTTACATAACTTAATTGTTCAAATGAACTTATAATTGGTACCACATTACTTAAAATCTATTTAATGTTATTGATTGTCACTTTGTTGCCATATATTTTTTATGTAGAATCTACTCAATATAATGTGTTCTTTGCAAGAATTTACAGAAGGGCAGTTAACAAATGACCACATTTAGAACAACAGCAGGTAAACATTTATTTGTGCAACTTCGTTTACACATATATTCTGAACATTTTTCGTGTAAAAGGCCAAAATACAAAGAAATCCTGGTGTACACAACAGAATTACAACAAGCCCCTCAAATGAGTATGGCAAAATATATTTAACAAAGGCACTTGCTATTTGAGGCAGGCCAATTGAACAGGTAGGCTCCTCAGATCAGTGTCAGATCAGTACAGCTTGTGCTCACAATTACCAGGGTCACAAAACAGAGGTAAAGACCCAGCAGAATACTGTCTATCTTCATAATATAGCTGTGGATTGCTGTTGCAAGAACAAACAGAAGAATTATGAAAAACAAGAGGAGTGTCTTTTTTTGCCTCTGTGAAAGTGGATTGTGTCACTGGCATCCATGTCCTAAGGTGGGGGCAAAGTGTTCATAGTCCATCTAGAAACTCTGTGTTATCAAGACACAACTGTCACTGTCCTAGTTATAGTGCAGCATTATCATTTACTTGTTACTTCTGGAACACCAAGCTACAAAAAACATCATCCCCTTCAGATGAGTATGGATAACATTATTTTTTAACAAAACTTGAACACTTAAATCACTTGAACACACAGAATAACTGAGCACACCAGTGTATTTAGGCTCCCTTTCTTAAGCCAGTAGCTTGCTCTTGAGGCTGTTCACTTTTGGAGAAAGCTTTGAACAGTCCAGCTCCAGGAAGAGTTTCTGAAAGGCTTCGAAAGTGTACCTGAGCTCCTTGGGATAAGCAAGATTCACTGCATACGTCAAACCAACAAGCATGGCACAAGCTCTTGGAAAGTTACCCAGAGCGGTCAGAACCTTTGTACCATCTATCACGATTCCGATGTCCTCTGTACCCTCTGACAGATTACTCTGGATGCTGTAAATTTTCATCCTTTGTACAGCAAGGTCCTGTGCCACACTGTCTTCATCTGCATCCTAAAATAATGAGAACATTTTGTATTTTAGACTGTGCAGCTAAAGGAGATGGTCCTTAATAAATAGAGATTGAAAGAGTTATGCATTTCAACTTACATCATACTCTTTAAAGAGCTGATCGGCAGATTCCCCAAGGTACAACATCAGACACCGGATGACAATGTCTCTGGTTATGTTGATGTTAGGATTGCTAGGAGCCTGAAATGAAAACGAAAAACACATAAATTAATATTACTCAAGGTCAAGGTGCAGTTTTTAACAATAAGGGCCGGATCTATCAAAGGTTTGCGTGTATAAAAACGTGAGCTATTTCACTGCGCACGCTAAAAAATGTACAAACTGATCTATCAACAGCGTGCTAAAAGGATTTGGTCTTTAAAACGTCCTAAATAGCGCCTCTTATCCATTTAGTACTTTTTCTGCTATGAATATGCAATATGGGGCGTTTACACGCAAAAGTGTGTCTTGTGGGAGGAGAACATGTAAATATATTAATTTAGCACTCGCAAAGTGATTTATCTAACCTGAAAGCAATTTTGCTAACGGTATCTGACTCTATATTTAACACGTTTCAAAAGAAGGTGCAAATGGTCTGTATGCGTAATTGCGCACACATGGCAGCGGTTATTGTCGCAAGAAGGAGACATCGAAATTAAAGCAAGGAGACGCAGAGAACGCATTTTTTCACTCCGTGTGATTATTTTTGGAATGACTGAGGAAACGATCATCAAAACATATCGTTTATCCAGCATTGCCATTTTGGAGCTGTTGGGGGAACTCCGAATGGATTTGGAGCCAGGCACAAGGAGGACCCACGCAATACCAGATATCACAAAACTCCTTGCAACATTGCACTTTTTTGCATCTGGGTCATTCCAGCGTACGGTTGCAGCGAGAGCTGGGATCTCCCAATCTAGTTTTTCAGAAGTGCTGTCCGACGTTCTAAATGCCATGTCGCCCTGACGCCCTACCGGAGAACCCTGACCTCCCCCCTGCGCCTGTGGAGCAACATGCCAATGCAGTCATCTTATCCACAGTCACTTCTTGTGAGCCATTTGGTAAATGCATTTTTCTACAGGCCAATACAAAACACCTGTTTTTTTTTTTTTTTTTTTTACTGCAGTGAAGTAGAAATTCAGCCACATACCACCTTAGGGAATAAAGGTTGCCAAAGTTGTTTTTTCTATATATATATATATATATATATATATATATATATATATATATATATATATATATATATATATATATATATATATATATATATATATATATGGGTTCCGCTGGTCGTACCCTCAAATTTACAGTAGAAGAAAAGAAGCAATATTGTTATAACTCCATTTTAACATTTAAGCTGCTAGAAAATAGGAGTGAGTGGCAGCTGGTGCCTAAAGAGTCAGACATTTACATTTATCCAGAATGTATCAGGTAAGAGCAGAGTAATGTAAAACATATATAGAACACATTATTTATAATCTATGTATTAAAATGAAAACATTTTGCCTGAGCTATGGTCATATTTTTGAGAATGTGTGATAAACATTGTCCATTTCGGTAGCCATACAAACTGCTGTAAGATATGCACTTATTGCACTAAAAAACATAATATGGCCAAACTTAGGATACCTTCAGTAGGATAGTCTGCAACCTTAATCCCATGGTCCCACCCTTTGAGTGGAAGAGGTTCAGAAGCCTGGGAGAGTATTCATCCAGCTTGGACATGAACTTCGATTCCAGGTGCACCGTTGTAATTCTGTGAAACTCATCCTCGATCTAAAAGACAAATTATGTAACCTGTAAACTATATTTGAAAATATGTGAAACATAATTTATGAAATGACAGTCACTTAACACATTTTGTATAAAATAGCTATCCCCTCAAAATTGCAAAGGAATGCTTCTGATTGCAATACACTTGTAACTCACATTAGATGCCTCGAATAGAGCTGGCCATCTGGCTTTGATGTCCTCTATGGCAGGTGATTGGTTAACGATATCATTTCTTCGGTGTGCAAATGTTTTGGCCATCTTTTCTTTGATCAATTTGTTGTTGTCTCTTTTCCTTACTTCAGTCAGCAACTGTATCCTTTCCTGTTCTTGACTTTCCTCATCCTCTCCTGCTGGGTAAGGTGGGAGGTAGTTTACTTCTGCTTTTCGAGGCTTTTTCACATTCTTTGCAGATTTTTGGTCCCCAGGGCTCTTGCGTTTGAAGGCATTGCACATCACCTCAGGAACTCCGTAACCTCTGAGTTTGGTACGATAATTTGCCATCTTGTATTTGAGGCGTTGTTGCCAGCCATAGTAGCCTGAGAAGGAGCCAGGTTCCTTCAGACAAGGATATTTATTGACAAGTGCCTCAGCAACATCACATATCTGTGCACTTGATGGATAAGCTGTATACATATATATAGTTTCAGCCAGCTTCTCCAATATGTCTGCTTTGACCTTTGAGGCAGTCAGAAGTGTTCCATTCTTTCTGTGGTCTTCATCGGCTCTTTCAAGGCACATCTCAGTCTCATATGCAAACTGTGGAATGGGAAACTGCTTTGGCCATTGCTGACATCGTTCAGTGGTGCTTCTCTGTCTAGGCAGGATAATAGTGTCCGTTGAAGATGATGTTCCAGCAGATGACTCTGTATTTGATGCAGAAGACTCTGCATAAGATACGGAGTCACAGTCTGTTGACTGTTGACCAAAAGAAATGTCCAAACTTCCTTCAACTTGCTGCAAGTTAAGAATAATCGGGGCAGCATAGATAACCTTTACCGTGTCTTTGTGTTTAATTTGGTCAGTTTTATGCAGTGTAAAGTAATCTTCAAATTCTGAGTCCAAATACTGAAGACTGAACTCCTCAGAAATTCCAAATTTCTCTTTCACAATAGTTTGCAGCTCCTCCACAGTCGGTGGGATTCCTGATTGAAGGACCAACTTCTCAATTCGGTCGCCAATGATTACTCGCAATTTTTCCTCCATCTCTCCGGCCTGATAAGAATATCCACAGACAGAAGCAGACAGTTAGACTACACATACAGTAAATACTACAATGAAGAGCCTAGACGTGCCACCAGAAAAAAAAGAAACAAAACAAACTCAGAGACTATTAATGACAACTGAAATACACTTGAATTTTCAACTAAATATTCTATTTCCTTATTCTGTCATCACATGATAAATCACTAAAATTAAAAATCAATGGAACTCTGATAATTTTTTGTGTGTTGCCATGTATGTAATTAGTTATGTGTCTAATGTTGATTAATGCTGCTATCATACTGTATGTGTTAGACCACTTTCAGTTTTATGAATTAAAAGTTGAAAAAAATATACAAAATCTTTTAAAAAGTATTTTTGCATTTCATTTTAACACTATAAACTATTCAAATATGACAATAAATAATTATTATATTCCCAATTCATTTAACTTTAAAATTAATAATCAATTTATATGGGTTTTTTAAAGTTATATTTTAGATATGGACACCAAACAAGTTAAAAATTATTATTATTATTACCTGAATGATGAAATCACAACAATATATATGTAAGCCATAATTATAACTATCATATAATTACTCAAAAGAAATTAAAATTCCAGTTGCATGAACCAGAATACAGATAACATTATGTATGTACAGATGTAAGGTTCAATATAATTTACCTAAAACGGACAACAGATGTGACGTTTGAGTGTAACCAAGCATTTTCCTCCCACACTGTACGCAGCCAAGGGGTAGACATCACCAAGTTTCTGCTGCTCCCAAAGTGCCATTTTCCCAGTGTCCTCCAACTGAAAAGACCTTAGATGCTCTTCATACCAGGCAGCCAGTAACTTTACAATGAAGTGTACACAGTTGTCCAAAATAGCAATCTGAATAATCTCAGCAAAATCAGGAAGTCCACCTGTAGAGCCATAGGACAGGATCATCCCAACATTGTACCTTGTTCCATAACAGGTGACAGTCTTGGCTAACAGCACAACAGACAGAAGTGGTGATGTTTCTCTTAAGAGTCCCTGTATGTCTGGATGCAGCACATTTAAAGGCACCTCAGATATTTTAGTAACACACAGTGCCTGCTTTCCACCATCTGTTTGCAAGTGATATGCCATCATCATCTGGTGTCGTGTCGAAAGGGTCAACAAGACATTCCTGAAATTGTTAGTGTGCCTCGCAACCTTCTTAAAAAAGCTGTGTTTTGCTTCGAAGCGCATTGTCCACACACCAACCAGAGGTCCATATTCTTCAATCAATGTGGGGTAGTGCTCCAAAAAATGGTGTTTTGGTGTCAGTGTCTCTTCTGGAAAAACTGCCAAAAGTCTGTCACGATGTTCAGATATTTTAGAGTCAAGATATGCAATAGTTTCAAGTGTATGAACAGGAGCAACCACCAGTTCAACTATGTCTTTTAAAGTCAGAAGAACCTGCCAAGCACAATCACCCTCAGGTATCAGTGAACCAACAATGAGTGGCAACAAACGTATTAGGGCCCAGTTTTCATGAGCATTTCCCCCTATAGATTTGCGAGTGATGTAATTTTGAGGGATTTCCTGAGGGCTATTGGTTTTGTCTGAGCCCTTATAGGGGAAACATTTAATTAACTCATTAAGTTGAGTTAAATTAAAGTATTTTTTTCTAGTGAAAACCTGAATACACAATGCTAGTTCCCTTGGAACAATCCCTTCAAAAACATCATGAAGTACATCTGGTGGGTATCCAGAGACAAAGTGAAAGTGAGTCAGTTTGTCGGTCAATGGACACGACCGCTTTACACCAAAGAAATGTGTTAAACTGGGATTTTCTTTAACAGTGTGTACATGCAAACTATGGTCCTCCTTTGTACGGGGTGGAAATGCTCCACCTCGCACTTCATGTGTCTGGTACTTGGAAGAATGTCCAAGACAAAACCTACACGTGTATGGCCCTGTGAAACTTTCAACTAGTCCACTGATTGAATGTGCCCCGAGATTATCAGCTGAAACACAGTGTACTGTCCCTTTAATACTTTTTCCAGCACTGGGAATGAAAACTCCTTCTTTTTCTAGAGTGACAAGATCTTTTAATAGTGGTTCCAAAACTACTTTGTATTCAAACTCTTTGACATCAACAGCTTTGCAAAGTAAAGCTAGGTGTATTGACGTTAATTCAGATTGCAATTCAATTGGCAAATTTGCCAAAATCCAATAAATGGCTGTAATTTTATGTTTTTTCCTTGAGGTCCCTAGAGGGTTACACACCTCAAAATCATCTACATAAAGGATTATTGAGAGTCGTGTTTCTTCTCCAGCATAAAAATCATTTTGTCTGTAAAATTTGCCATCAAAAATTGACTTAATATATCCAGTGCTGTTTGAACACCTGGATATAATTCCGTCTGCAACGTCTTTATTCTTTACAATTTCCTGCAGAGTTTTGAGAATGGGCACATACTGAAAGGTCTTGTTCTTTTGAAAATCCAGAATATATTCAACAGGGTCAACACACTGGAAATGCTCTTTAAAATATCTTCTTCTCTTAAAAGCTGTGCTAAGAGGACCACCTGCCGCTAGTGCTGTACTAATGGGATGGAAGTTGCACAGTTGTTCTGCCAAGTCACATATGAATGCCTGGTCTACAGTGCATTTATTTGATCTAAATGTTGAATCGAGTGTATTTCTTACAACGGCAACAGATGCTGCAGATGAAATGAAGTGAAGGTCTTCAACCAAGGCATCAATGCACCTCACAGATGCATTGCATATACTTTCTAGCTTCAGCAGAAGCAAAGCAATTCTTTTCAGAACTAGGTATGATGCACATTCGGGATCACCATCTAGACTAGTTCCCTCATCAGCACTGGCTTCTGGTAAATCAGAGAGGTCAGCTGTCTGATCATAGTGTCTTTCATACACAGCTTGCTTAAAATCACTCAAAGAATAGGGTTGGTGTCTTCTGCTTTTGTGTTTTAGAAATGTATTGTAAATATTTGTCCGAAAACTGCACCCTTCAAATACACAAAAGACAGTTTCATGGCCTTTCAGATGATTTCCAATATGTTGAAAGAAATCCTTCTCAGTAGAACAACTAGCATCACAAACTAAACACTTGAAAGTGGAGATATATGGCTGTAGACTTTCCTTAGAGGTATGGTACCTGGACAAATGTGTGCGAAGAGCACTCTGCGTTTTGAATGTGCAAGGGCAACCACTATAGGGACATGGCTGAGATTGCCCGTGACCAAATGTTGTGTGCTCTAGTCTGTAATGCTTTAGTAGGTTCCCTTTTGTAGCAGACAAAGACTTGCAGATCTTACACTGCCATCCCATCAGCACCTAAAGTAATAAGAAAAAAAGGAACTATTAACTTGTATACAGTAACTGTATAAAGAGTAACCTACTTCAATAATAGTGCTAATAATTATATGGGTATATGGTATTATAGAAATACTGCATATCTAAGAAAAATATTCTCTATATTTTATGCTGCTTTCATTTCAAATTCAAGTTTTAACTTCGGGTTAAACTGTATCAAATTTGCGTAGCCAGCAAAAGTTGATAAAAACATGATTTTTATATAAGTTATCAACATTGTGTTGCAAAACAGAGAATGAACCTTTACACAATATACTGTATGTGAAGTAGTTCTGTAGAGTAGTATAACAGCATGTATTTAGTAAGTGCAATACATACCTGCGGTCTTTAAGTGTTGACAGATAAGTGTTGGTAGATTCTTTATACACCTAGAAAAAATGCATAGCTTTAATTCATTTGGATGAAATAATATTTTAAGCACAAACTCAGAAGAAGGAATATATGAAATTCAGCCAAACAAGCAACAAAAAATATTAATTTAGCTTAGTCCCACTTTTTTGAGTGTACAGAGATCAGAACAAGAATGCCTGTTAGAGCGTTAACATTTATTAAACCTGCATCAACTGAGGTTACTCGGGTTACATTCAGTCTTTACAATTAACATATGAATACTTTCCTTTACAATCCAGAAGAGAATTTAAAAAAAAAAAATAAAATGTTCTCAGTCCTCACTTATTTAGCTCCATTTTTCAAATGCACAAATGAGGTTTGAATGGCAAAAGTAACTATGAACTTAAAATTTCCTGGATCTCCCACGAGTCACTTAAAAAAAATTGGCAGAATGCACAGAACTATAGTAAGGCCCAGCCTATAAAAATGTAACTTACAATACTGCTCAACATTACTTCTCAGAGAAAGTTTTCCATTGAACCATTGCTTTTTTGTATGAACTATTGGCATCTTGACCATGAATCGTGTCGCCAATTACCTCTATTTGAATAACAGAAAGGAGGGTTGCAATGCATTTAGGGTATGTAAAATGCAAAGTGTAATAGTATGCCATTAAGAACAACATCCCATCTGCGAAATCTTCCAGTGGCAGAGTGGTCACAGGCATGTTACCCACAGCCAGGATGGTGGTTGTTCCGTCAAAAAGCAGATCTGGTGAGGACAAAGGACGCTTCGCCAGGTACAGGGCAGGGTCTTCACCTGACTGTAACAGACAGGCAGAAAAAGAGCAGTGTAAAAATACTGAGAACTTATTAGTTTATGATCATTATGAAAGTCATCTTTAGTTTAAAAGGTTGTCTTTCAACCTAACTTGAACACAGTTAAATTAACTTTGAATAATAATACTGAATAAAATACTATTCTCTCGTTAAAATTCCCCTCTATATCTTGTCAAAGTTAATAATTTGTTCTATTTTGGACTACTGCTGAGTTTAAAACTTGTGAAAATATCTTGATATAGCTACTTAAAAGTATAAGGCACACTTCTAAAAAAGATGAGAATAGTAAACAGTATTCAGATGAATACTTGGTGTATTGTTTTATTTGAAGCTCATCTTTTTCAGTATTGTCAGAACTTGACTGGATATTTAATAATAGGGTGCCAATGTTCAAAAATACATTTTTTGACTGATCAAAGCCTTTTTTTTTAGATTGGGCCCTTGATTTTACGTTATTATTTTCATGTTCTTCTCACCCATATGAGTTTTGTGTCATTTGGATTAAAACATAATTTATTTTTTATGTTACGCCAGCATTTATAACATGTAGGTGAATCACTGTCCCCCAGACATCCACGCGCCGGCTACCGTTCATTCATCCTGTCCGCTGAACTGCTGCTAGTTTTCCTTACATACCTGGAAGATGTCTTGTGCTACTACCACAGAGGATCTCGCTCTCAAAATGGAATTGAACGATTCAGATTAGCTAGAATGAATAGAAGGGGTACCTGTGGCCCGGGCTGCTTGTTATGACTCCAGTCCAGTGCGTGGATGACGTCATACACGCGTCGCTTTGTTTTAAAAAAATATACATATAAAAAATATAACTGCGGATGTCTGGGGGACAGTGATTCGCCTACATGTTATGAATGCTGGCGTACCATAAAGAATAAATTATGAACAGTTTAGTATGTGCCTTCAAGTCGTTGCCCATAGGAAGACGTTACTTGGATATAACCTAACGGAATATCTTCAGAACGGCTCCAAATGACACAAAACTAATATAGGTGAGCAGAACATGATGTAATAACATAAAATCAAGGGCCTTTGACAGGAATACGCAATCAACTATTGACAATGCTAGTAACAGCTCATCCCACCCAAAGATGAAAAAAAAAAAACATACATTATAAACATCTTTGAAGCATGGATACACATCAAAGATTTTTGCAGGTCGGTCTTCTTCCCTAATAACATCAGCATCAATGAAAGCCCGTCAGGCCTCAAACTCCAGGTCCAAAATTTGAGCAACATCATTTTGATAGGGTTTTGCATTGGGTTTATTGTACATGTTGCTCAAAGTTTTGTAGTGCCTAGCCTGCATCTTCAGACTATCTTGGGCAACTAAAATTACAGAAATAGAAAAAAAAAGTAAAGTAGTTTAGTACCTACTTATTGTCCTCCCTTCACCCCCTGTCTTGGCAAATTTTGCACATATTAGATGTGGGCAGAGTAGCAGTGTTAAGTACTACATGAAAATGTATGAGCTCTGAAATTCATTATGATGAATAACAGGCTGAGAAGTGTGCTAAGGTGGGCTTACCTGCAACATCCTTTGCAGGTGTAGATAGTGAAGTGATCACAGGCCTTGGTGAGGAGCCAGAGGGGGATTCTGATGGCAGCGGTGGGGTTTTGGTGCCACTCTTTGACTTCCTTGGAATAGGAGGAGGTGCAGATGCTTTTTTTGGAAATAAAATAACTTTTATTAACAAGTAGAATCATAAGCAAAACCAGTAGATGTGAACCAAGAGTATGTCGTGGCAAGATCCTTGGATCAAATAATGTGGACATTCATAGTTTCATTATATTTTTTAAAAACAAAAACAAGTTTAATTAAAGCAATTTTCATCATCTTCACAGGAGCTTTCTTGGCTTATGTTGTCATTGCTCTCAAGAAGTATGGTACTATCACTCGAGGTGCTCGTCTCTGTCCAATCCGTGTTCTCTAGGTGGTCTAAATTGAAGTGAACCCTCTTGGACATGCCCCTTTATGGTGTGGAGCCCTGTCTCTACCTTGGGGATTTCATATTTTGGAGTCTCTTGTACATTTTAGTGTAGATGGTCAGCTGTGGTTAAAAAAAACCCGAAAAACCTTAGATAAGTTGATGATTACGTTTAGCTTTAGAAAAGCTAATAAAATAATTATTTACATATGGCATATTTGGATCAGCATCACGCAACATAGGGTAATAGTCGACAATCTTCTGCGACATGCTTTTAATTTCCAGTTTGGAGGGGTATCTTGCTTCTTTCCCCATGGGACTAACACGCTAAATTGCAACCATGCTGGTGATTGTGTTCCTTACAAGTCTGCAACACAACTCCTTTGACATCACGTAATTCTTTTCTTTTCCATTGCGGAGCAATGAAAAGTACTGACTGTGCACCATGTCTAACTCAGTATCTGTGTACAACACATATTCTGGAGGGTCTGGCAGTTTCATGTTTTTTTTCGGCATTTTGGGATATGAGGGTGGAGGCTTTAGGTTGTAATGGTGACATGGTACTAGTTGAGGTCATAGTCTCAGTACCAGGGCAGATGTGTGACACCTTGATCCGATGTATTTTCACACTATTAGGATTATGAAGAATAAACCAACATTTATTAGGATCGCCATATTATGGTAAGACTGGGACTAAAAAAGTAATACTTGTTGCAAATTGTGTTTACATTTTGACTGTTGAAATCCCAGAGTTTCATTCTCCTGTTGAAGTTTTCAGGCCCAGGAAAAAGATCCCTCAGGTCATCCCGGCTGAGGCTTTTCAAAGCCTCTTCATCCACATTGGCAGCTGTAATAAATATATTTCATTAAAAATCAGTAATAGGAAGCTGCCCTACAAAGAAACATAGGTAGATGTTATCTGACTTTCTAAAAGCCAACACATTTAATGTGAGTGCCCGGATTGTAACATGCATTATGATTTTGTATTCCAAGCATATTTTCAATTTGTTGTTTTTTCATGCAAATAAGGATTAAAAGAAAATCCATTAAGACAAAAAGCATTGCATTTCAATCTGTAAAAATTCAAAAAATATCCACTGGACTTGGTTTCCAAGATTTGAAGACGTTGGAAACCAAGTCCAGTGGATATTTTTTGAATTTTTACGGAATGACTATGACCTGGATGACAGAACCTTCATCAGCATTGCATTTCAAATAATAATGTGAATTGTATTGCATGTATGGCATCAATATAGCTAATTTTTATTATTGACTTACCCTCCAACAATGACAGAGTAGCATGGTCAAAAGTATCCATTCTAAAATCCAACTCTAAAGTAGTCACAGCAGGTCCCTAACAAAACACAGACATAAAGTTTGTTATCTAGCATGCATTTTAGTACATTCCCAGTCTTCAAAGACTTTGAAAAGCAAAAAGATCTTCATAAATAATAACAAGAGCCTAATATTTTGTCCTCTTTTTTGGCAGCTGGGATGCAAAAACAGCTTTCCTTAGGACGTTTGTTAGGGACACAATTCAATTTTATTTATATAGTGCCAATTCATGAAACATGTCATCTGCAGGCACTGAAGGCATCAAATTCAATCAGATTATACAGACTGTGTCAAATTATACAGATATTGTTTCTTTTTT